AGGGGAAAGGGGGGTGGCCTCCATAAACAGCTGCTACCCCACCCACACAGAGGCAGGAGCCTCAGGGAAGATCCAGTTCATAGAATCCCAGACTGGTTTGGGTTGGGAGGGACCTTAAAGCTCATCCAGTTCCAACCCCCCTGCCAGCAGCAGGGACCCCTTCCACTAGACCAGGTTGCTCAAAGCCTCATCCAGCCTGGCCTTCAACACTTCCAGGGAGGGGGCATCCAACACCCCAGCGAGGGGCAGCAGGGAAAGGATGTGTGTTCTGTGGGATGTGTGTTCAGAGGGAAAGCGCCATCCCACACGTTATTTAAAGTGGCTCTTACAAACACAACCCCATGGCCCACCATCCAGCAGCCAGGGCAGGAAGAACACAGTGTCCTGCAAGAACTGTCCCTCTGTTCAACCAAGGAACAAGGGACAGGACAAAAGGAAACGGCCTCAAGTGGCACCAAGGGCAGCTGAGATGGGATGTGAGGAAGAATTTCTTTGCTGAAAGGGTTCTGAGGCATTGGAAGGGGTTGCCCAGGGCAGTGGTGGAGTCCCCATCCCTGGAGGGATTGAAGAGTCGTGTAGACACAGTGCTGAGGGACATGGGTTAGTCATAGGGGACTTGTCAGTGTTGGGTTCATGGTTGGACTCGATGAGCTTAAAGGGCTTTTCCAACCCAAACAATTCTGTGATTCTGTGACTGATGGCCCAACTGTTCCCCATCTCGGTGACAAACCCCCTGCCCGGGGACGCTGCACCTACCGCTTGTGAGGCCATCATCTCGTTGATGCTCTGCTCGTACTGCTCTGCCAGAATGGCGAGCTTCCTCGTCTGCTCGTCCTTCAGACTCTTCAGAATTGTCTTGTGCTCACTCTTTGGAGTTACTTCCAGCTGGTGATTCTTCAGTGCTTTGTACTGCTTAGTTTGCACTTTGCATGTGTCCTGGAACTGCTTTTTGATCTGCATTTCCATAGCCTGCCAAGGAAGGAACGATGTGAAGAGCACGAAGAGCTTTAGGAATGCAGAGGTTACAGCACATCCAAACGGGCGGGCTGGTGAGAGACACACACAGTTCCCCTGTGCTCTGCGCTGCCTCCTGCCCCTGCACCCGCGTGAGCTCTGCACACACAGCACCAGCTCAGGCCCTGCTCCAGCACTGACCACCAGCCTGGCTCAGGAACAGGATCCACCAAGCCCTCCTCAGCCCCAGGAGGGGCATCTCCATCTCCTACCCCTGCTTCCTGTAGGTCACTCAACTCATCACTCTGCCACCTGCCTCTCAAAAAGCATTTGGCTTTTTTAGGGCCTCCCATTCTGCTGCCTCCCCACCCTGACACAGAGACTGCAGATCTGAGAACTAGCGAGGCTGTGACAAAGTGAATAAAAGCAACGTGCCTTTTTGGACATTCAGAGGAGGAACAAAAATCTCCCGTGCCAGCTCAGAGGTTTCTGATCAACCTGCAGCCAAACTGGGACAGAGCAGAGTGCTCAGCACACCCATGTTCTGCTGACTTTGAAATCGAGGAACCATCACCCACCCCTTTCCCTATCCAGGTTTATAGGCTGACACCAGCAAGGGCCTGAAGAAAGCACAGCTCATCAGAAGGAAGTTCTGTGGTACTTTGCTCAGGACTAGCCTATTGTTACCCACCAGCACGGCACTAAACAAATCCTCAGTGAACTCTTTGCTGTAAGAACCTGCCAGTTTCTCCTACCAGAGCAGCCCTGCGCAAAGGGAAGGGATCCAAGGGAGGGAAAGCACACAGTGCTGGTGGAGAACAGCGGTGCTGCAGCAGGGATGCTGCACGGAGGAGGCAGCAAGAACACAGACCAGCCTGCCCGGCAGGACAGAGGCTGGAAGAGGAGGAAGGAAAACTTCCAGCACCTTCAAGTTCTTTGGTTGCTGCCGGAGCTCCATGAAATGCTTCCTGTGCAGCTCCCGCTCTCGCCGCTTGTTGTATTCCAGCTGGTTCTCGAGCTCAGTCTGGTGCTGCAGCCGGATCAGGTCCATTCGCAGCTTCTGCAGCGTGTGCAGCTGCCTGTACTCCAGCTCGCGCGTCGACTCGTCGTGCCGGATCAGCATGGCGTGCTCCATCTCCTTCTGCGTCCGCTTCTTGTTTAACTCCTGGGCAAGGGAACAGCAGAACACAAGACAAAAAGCTGAGGAGCAATTCTCTCTGCCCTGAGATGCAGCAGTTGAGTTTGCAAGGCCGGGTGTCCTCATCACTCCTCTAAGCAGCATCGAGGACTTGCATGTGCCACAGGGAAACACAACCCCAGCAGTGCGGTGGGAACGCTAACGGCCACCCAGCATCCATCCATCCATCCATCCCTCCCTCTGGAAGCTGTTCCTCTGGCAGCTCCTGGATCACCCAGGCAGTCTCCAGCAGGTGGCACTGGGACCACACACAAGCCCTTGGAGACTGCAGAGAATCACCAGAGTTTTGGATAAATCCATCCTGGGGTGACTGACAGAACGAGGGGCTCCTATTTATCTGTTTTAAATGATCCTGAGCCCCTGCTAGACCCTGGGAGATGAGGCTTCTCACCCAGCACTAACACCAGAACGGCCAAAGCAGAGGTGAACAGCTCCAGCACACCACAGGGGCTAAGAAAAAGAAATGAAGCTACCACTGTGACAGGTAGAGATGCAGCACGTCTGGTAAAATGAGGACGCAGCCCAAGCCAGACATGGTTTTGCAATGTGGACATAAGAGTTCCTACACACGGTGCCCTGCAGTCCAGGGAACCTGCCCTGAGTTACTAGCCCAGGAAGAGGAAGATACCAGATTCTTGCCCTGATTACTGCTAATATTTCTGTCTCAAGGTATCAGCAACAACCTGTGGGGCAGGGAGCTGAATCCAGCTCAGTCAAGCAGCGATTACAGCTGTACCCCTCGCTGGTATTTGGTGACCTTCACAGATGGTTTGCTGGTACAGCTCAGTTTCAGCTCTCGGGTTGACAAACTCATCGCTGTGCTTCACGCCAGACTAAGACAGGCACAGCGGGCGCTGCCTCGCACCACGCGCACGCCCGGCGCTGGCTCAGGCTAGTGAGTTCCTACAGTAGAAGCAACAAAAATACCTAATTATTCTGAGTTGTTGCTTGCATGTTATAATCCTGCTGTAACTCTCAACACCAGCACCTGCAAACGGGCACTTCAGCCCCGTTGGCTGTTAGAACTGTGACAGGTTTAAGCTCAGAGGACGGGGAAGGAAGCACGGCCAGGTCTTGTCTCTGCATTCTTGGCCATAAGGATGTTGCACGTGTTTACATTTAAGCAAAACTTGCACCTTGACAGCCAAGATCAAAAATGAGATCCCCTGGCGTGCTGAAATCATGTCCCACTTGAGCAGAGGCAGGTAGCACACTCAGACAGCACCTCAGCCCGTGCAGAGCTGTGGCTGTGTGCTCTTAGGACAGGACAGGCAGCCTCTCTCATGCCCTTTCCACACCTGATTTCAGTTGATGCAGCATGAACAGAGGCACTCCACTTCTAAACACTTTCCCATTTGTACAAAAAGAACCTCTGTGGTCACTTAAAACATGAAGAAAAAATATTCTGGAAGTGTTATTTACTTCAGCTCTCTGATCCAGTGAAGTTGAACTAGTTAGTTAGTAGGGATGTTATTTTCAAGAAATAAACACTCTGAAAATTAGGTCTCTCAAGAGTTTAAATGCAGGAACTCAGAGGAGAGTCTCCTGGTTAAAATTCCATGCTAGGTAGCTGAATTCTGCTCTCTCCTCCCTGCCACAGAGCTTACAGGCTGTGATAAAGGGGCCCAAATCTGATTTTTCAGTCCTTCATTTTCAGGGTGTCTGAGTTGAGATGTCTGGATGTGATCTGCAAAGCAGCTGAGCAGCCCCAGACACACCTGAAGTCAAGGGCAGCAAAGCTCTGAACAGGTAAAATGCAGGACAATGTTAAGTATGCTGGAAAATTTGATGGCAGCAGACTAAGTTGATGATTATTAGAAATTTTTGATCACTCACTCACAGCTTTTACTTAAACACCTTCTCATCTGATAGTCTTTATCCAAAAATAGCATTCATGAAGAATTCAGAAACTAGAGTGACTACCACAGAAAAATCTACAAGTAATAATTCATTCTCCTAAGTGGTATTTGACTGCAGGCAGCTCGTAAGGCAAGGGTTAATAGCTAATGAGGAAAAATAAAACATTGAATAGCTTCTCATTAACAAACTACTGCCCATTCCATGCACTGATTTGAGCAGAACCCAGTGGAAAAGCAACAGCTGATTATTTGAAGACAACCAGACCGCAGACACACGAGAGGACTGTATTTTTGGTGTTTTGTACATTTGTAGCTTTTCATTCTGCAACCTTAATGTTGTTCTTTAAGGTTATTACTGGTTCCTTACATGTGTTTCAACTGGGGGAGTTTTCTTTTGCTAATGAGAACTCCTCACATGATGCTTTCAGCCACCCCACAGGTGTCCCTGGGACTCTACATGGCATGAACTGTCCTGTGCTGTGAAAGATTCTCAGCAGGATCCCCCAAAATCTAACGCCCAGGAGCTCAGATGAAGGATCTGACCCATGTGGGTGGCTCAGATAACGCTGCTGTCTGCAGGTCAACTGTGCCACCCCTTCTCCGTTAATAAAAGCAGCCACATCCGTGTGGAAAACTATTTCCCAAAACACATTTCCTGCATTTTTCTCAGTTCTGTTGAGCAACTGGAAACATGAAGATCTAAATTCAGTCAAGCAAACTGTTTTAGAGACAGGAAGCTAAAGCAGTTACAGAAATGCTTGGGAAAGGAACTGAAGAGTGACATACTTCCCGAATGTTCTGCTGCTCCATCTCGTGCCTCTTGATCATCGTTTTTCTCTTGAAGAAACGGCAGTTTTTGTCGTAGTAGAGTCTCTGCTGGCTGAGAAGATGGGCCTCCTCCTCAGCCTGTGTGTGCTGCAGGTTCTCTTTATGTTTGGATATTCTTTCTTGTTTCTCTTTCTTCGGTGTGCTGTGGTCCTCATTCATTTCCTGTGTGCATAGAGGGTCAAAACAAGACTTCCCTTAGGATCACAGTGACATGGGACTTGAATGACCTTCACTCAGTGGCCACTCCTCTGCCATTCAATTCACAGGACACCAAAATCCTGACTACAACTCCAGCCACCAGCAGAACCAGACTCATCACCTGGCCATGCCCAGCCCTACTGACTCCAGACTTGTATTATGACCCATCAAGAGGAGGAGGAGGAAAAAGTGGCCATTAAATACAAACATCTTGGGGTCTAAACAGTAAAATGCAGTAACACACCACTGCAGGGCAGGCTCTGGCTCTCCAGGAAGGAGAATAGCTCAAACCCCTCAGCTCCCTTCCCAGCTCTGCACCTGGTTTACAAAGGAGTCCACCTTGGGTTTCAGTTTTAATTCAACAGGACTCGTGCTCGATTCTCTATCGATCAGGTACCTAACAGGGCTCCTTGCTATTCATTTTCTCTCCTCTACATTTTTAATAGCAAATGATTTTGCAATGTGGTGGGGACGCTGTCCTTAAGCAACACAATTTGGGACAGATAAGCTATATACCATGTTACTTCTTTTTCTAATTCCTATAAGCGATCGCAGGGCTTTTAGCCCAGTGACATCTAAATGGCAGCTCTGATTAGTTACAGCTTTAGCAAAAAATCCCCCAAAACAAACAAAAAACCCCAAACAAACAAAACAGATGAGGAAAAAGGGGAGGAAGAATTCTCTATGCAGTCCTATTTTCCTTCATCACCCTTGGTCTCAAAGATTCTCCTCCACCACAAATTGTGAAGGCACCTCTAGCACCCTTAGAGATTATTCTAGAAACGCTGCCAGATGCTCCCAGTTCCTCAAAGTTAACTTGCTGAGAATCTAAATTTGCTTCCAAGCATGACAGTATCCCTTAAACCCCTGGGCTGGCCCAGGTTTATCAAAATGAAAGTCTAGTTCATCTTCATTCCACACCCCTTCAGCCCTGAAAATGATGGTTTCTTGCCTCTTTAATCTTTTCCTTGCAAAGCTTGTATTGTTTCTTCTGACTTTCTAAAAAGGTCGCCAGGTCTTTCTTTTGCTGAGCCAAAATCTGTTGCTGGAATTTCTTTTCATCTGCTGCAGCTGCCTTTGCCTGCAAGGCACAGAGAGAAAGAAAAAAAAATTAACAAAAAAAAAAGAAGAAACCACAAAGGGTGAGGGAGCAGGTACTGAATCCAGCACAGATCAGTCTTCTGCTGTGCTTTTTTTGGTCTATCGTTCTCCCATCACTGTGTTAGACAAAGCCAAATGAAAGCTGCTTGCACCAAAAAAAACCCAAACCCCATAACACCCACATAGATGTAAATGTTTCCTCTTGCTTCTTACCTCTCCACCAAAACCAGCCCAGAGGGTGAAACCCCACTAGTTTACCATAAGGATTAACATGCTGACTTGGAAACAGACTGAGTAATAGCAGCAAGCTTTGTCCTCGCCTCAGCCATGACACACAAGCCCTCTCCAAGATCTCCACAGAGGTTCTCAGTCTCTTTTAGCTGGTTGTCAGTAGCTGCAGTGTTGGTTGATGCCAATGGAGCGCCCATCATCCAGAAGGTTGACTTGTAGCTGTGAAGCTATTTCACCAAACTGGCCAGGGCAGCTCCAGGCAGTAACTTAAGAACATGGGCCTACAAGAAAGCTGGGGAGGGACTTTTCATAAGGGCAGTTAATGACAGAACAAGGGGAAATGGGTTTAAACTGGAAGAGGGGAGGTTTAGATGAGATATTAGGAAGAAGTTTTTCACTGTGAGGGTGGTGAGACACTGGAACAGGTTGCCCAGAGAAGCTGTGGCTGCTCCTCCCTGGAAGTGTTCTCGGCCAGGCTGGATGAGGCTTTGAGCAACCTGGTCTAGTGGAAGGTGTCCCTGCTGCTGGCAGGGGGGTTGGGACTGGATGAGCTTTAAGGTCCCTTCCAACCCAAACCAGTCTGGGATTCTGTGATTCTATGAACATGCACTTAAGAACAAGGGTTTTAAGCAGTGCTTCCACCACCTTCTCCTAGAGATCTGGTTCACACCTCTCCCATCAATCTTCTTGCACAGCTAGGGAGCCTGTAACTCTACTCACCTCTTTCTCCATCACAGCCACTTGCTTCTTGGCCAGCTTCTCCAGCTCAATGGACGAGTTGTTGGCATGTGTCTCCACCTCCTTCTGCAGCTTGAGGCGGTGCTCGTCCATCTCGGCCTTCAACTTGTTTTCCAGGGCGATCAGCTGCTTCTGGTGCTGGCGCCGCATCCGCTTATATCCTGACATCTGTTCCCGCAACTCGTTCTCCTGCTCATGCTCATGGATCTGTCTTGTAACCTGACGTCAGGAAAAGGGGAAGAAGTGCTACATGGCTGCCTTTGCAGATGACAACCTGTCTCCATACCAGTACTTACCTGCAAACCACACCCTGCTGTGCTGTACTCTGCGAAATCAACTTTCAGGGGGTGCTATTATTTAATATCACAAACCAGGCCATAAGATTTCTCTCTCCTGATTTTCCCCCCCCCATCTTTAATGAGAATTTTATGGGTGTTTTCAGTGACACAGCAGGAAAATGTCATGTTATGAATAAAGGGAACAGCAGGTTACTTCTGGAAACAAAGGCGGCTGCTGGACAACCTTCTTCAGACACAGGACTCATCATGAGGGTGACAGGGGCTTACAAGATGGCATCCATTTTAAGAAACCCCCAACCCACCCATCCTTTCCTTCATCCCTAAGTCACCACGGTTCCAATTCAGTCCCTCAATACCTATTTTCTGCAACAAGTAGCCTCCTTCAAAATTTCTCCTAAAAATTCAAGAGGATGACAGACTGAGCCCATTCCCCCGTGGAACGGGAAGTTTTCTAACGCAGGAACACTGCTCTGGAACTGTGTGCTCCTAACAAGATTGATCAGATGGGCTAAGCATATTTAAACCCTGCATAGCTGAAACAAACTCACAAGTTCCACACGCATTTCCATAGCTAAGTGCATCCATGTGAATGAGAAAAAAACTCCAGGAAGGTGTGCCAAAAATTTTCAGAAGACAATGCAAACAGCAATGCTTCCATTTCAAATGAAGAAGTGTCCAAGACTGATGTGTTTATTTTTCACACAGTCCCGAGAACTTCACATATAAAGATCTGCTGGTATTTTATGACAGGCCTGGGAGCCAAAAGCTGGAGCCCTCAGTACCTGTGTAGAGTCCCTGATTCTGTACAAGGGCACCTCTCCCTTTCACACTGAAGAGCTCAGCTCTTTGAAGGTGATCACTGAAGCTTTATGAACCAACAGTCCTCCCTGCAGCCTGCAAGAGCCCAGCCTTGCTGATGAATTTCTCTGTAGCAGTCAAGAGAAAGAACTGGCACCTACGACAGTACTGCTGTTATTTGAAGGCTATTTTTCAGAGACCTTCCAAGTAAGTTCAGACACAGGATGAGATGCACCTACAGACCTGAGAAGGCTCAAGTTCAACAGAAGAGCAGCAGCTGCTTTACCAAGCAACAAACCAAGTCCACTTGCTGGCAGCCCTGTGCTTCAGGACTAGTAGCTGATAGGAAGCAGTGATCAAGAGCTCCAGAATCAACAAGTTAAACCACACAACTGATGTGTCACCCCGAGGCAGACAGCATGCTGCCACCTGTCTCAGCTCAGATGACTACCAACACTCAGGAAGGGTGTGAAGAAGAGGTCAGGAAGAGCCTTTGCACAGCCTTCACTTTGAAATAGATTAACAACAATTTACAGTAAACAGTTACCAACCAAGAAAATCATAGCCAGAGTCCCAGAATAGAAACAAGACACGAAAGGATGAAGCTACTGAAGTGGATGGTCTCTGTTTTCCCCCCATCCTTTCCCAAGACAACCCCAGAGAGAAAATGAAACATCTCATGGCAAAGAAAACAAAGAACGAGTCTGACTACAGTGCTGAGTCCAACTCCATTACCAGGAAGTGATGATGGTGGGTGGCTTCACCACATTAGTGAAGTCAAACATCAACTACAAGGTAAGTGATGATGCATAAATCACATCCTCCTTGTACAAGGAATTTTTGGGATGTTATTTTGAGGCTGATTAGATTAAATTATATTTACACCTCAGCAAGTGGTGTAACATAGCAGCCTTCAAACACTTGAGACTAGGGAAGGAAATAGACTCAAGCCAGATACCAGGAATATGGGAGATGGTAGAAACTACTACAGAAACACAGAGTTTGAGCTCTGGCTATTGCTGTGGTTCTGAAAGACAAAAAGCTTTTAAAAAAATAAAAATAAAGCATAACAGTGACAGGTATATGTTGCAGAAGTTGGTCAGCATTTGTAGGAACTTGCACATTTCAGTCAAGTTCAGCAAGAATCAGATCTCTGACAGAAGCTTCCAGGTGATGAAAGTTTCTTTGAGGAGGCACCCAAGTTAATGATAAGAGACATCTAGATGTCAGGTAAGACAGGCAAAACCCCAAACATTTCACATACACCATTTGTGAGATTTTACTATGTTAAATGACACACAACTTGCAGAGAACAGAGTTGGTCAGGGACCTGCAAGGCACGGAGATACGGTAACCACCACGCAGCAGTGCAAGATCTTCCTGGATGGGCTGTTTTTGAGGCTCAGCCTTTTTTGTGAACAGTGGGGACATTCTCCATGGCACACTCCGTTCCAAGAAGTTGGCAGAACAAAGCAAACACCAAGAGCATAAGAAAAAAAACAGATCTAAGAATCTACTAGCAACTTTGCCAGTGTCCCCTTTGGTGAAATCTCTAATGAGATTTAGAGCATGCATTTGTTTTATTTGCAGCAAAAATCATTAACCTTTTTTTTTCCACCCCACTCTGTTCCTGTGCACCCCATTTGCAGCTTTGCTCAGCTTGTCTCTATCAGGACAAGAATTCCATCTTTGAAAGATTTCATGTTAGGTCTGGGATATTTATCCCCAACAGTAAGATGCAATTCCTAATTATAACTGATAAAGCTTTCCAGTCACAGCAGAAGATGAGACATTAAAAAGTCAGAGGAAAACAAAAGAAGCATTTAATTCCTGAAGAGAAAGAGAATGGTAGAGTTGGTGGACATTTTGCAGATTTAATGTTTGCATGCTCATGCTAAAGATCTAATTTATCACCCTAATCTCTAATCAAGACTGACACTCTTCAGAATTCTGGCTTCAAAGCCAAGGTCTCCAAATGGTGCAGATGAAATTGGAAGAAATTAATGTTAGTTACTGAATATGACCAGTTCAGCACCAGAAAAGTACTTCAGACTAAGCATATCAACACATGAATGAATGAATGATGTTGGTTTGAAGATGAAGCCCCTAATGAATGAACATGTTGAGCAACCATTTGAAAAAGATAATTTGGGGAAGTGCCAGTAATCACCTTTCTGGTGTTGTTACAGACAAAGGCATTTGGAATTTTTTAAAGTATTTCACAAACATAATCCCATAGATTTTGAAAGGAAAAGAGATGACAACTGTTTTACTGCTCATTGTAAAATTTGTTCTCCACATTGCTAGAAAATACCAGGATCCTTTAAAGCAGAAAACTTGACTTTCCTGCAGCTCTATCTGAAGCATGTAATAATCAATTAGGTCATCAGCAGAACCAAAAAACCTGGATGAAAGAGAACAGCTTTTCTTAAGGTATCTTCTCAGTTTCTTATCTCTCTGTATCTTTGGCACACACAGAACTGAGAAGAGAGATGCCTTTTCCAACCTACTCCCACAGGCAGTTCACTTGCCATAACATCCAAACTTTCTCTCTCTCACCCTTCCCACTGTGTTGCTTTACGTAAGGAAGTTGGGCTCACAAACTCTCCTCCAAACCAGAAGCTCTTTAGAGTTCCTTTTTCTACATTGTTTAATTAAGATACCCACCACTCTCCTAAAGGCCAGTTATTCTCATCTCTTGATAACCAAATGAAATCCTGAACTCCTCTTTGCTAGATGAGGCAGAGTACTGAGCGAGACACTGCCAGTGGCCTCTCATGGCAAGAGAGCAACTTTGGGATGAGAAAGAACAAGTTCAATATTTTTTGGAGCAAAGATCTATAAAGGCAGCAGCTAGGTGAGTCCATTAGGAGAAAACTCAACCATCTGGAATAAAGTGTCATTGCTCCAGCAGAAGAAGGTGTAGCCACCATGTAAACGTAGCTGGTTTTGGAGTCAGGCTGCCCTGGTGTCATTTTAATGGCCACATCCAGAGAAGCTTGTTCACACGTACCTAGATATTTGGCTTCGCACACCCAGGATGAGATCACATAATTCTTTTGCTGGCATTTGGGTTTCAAAAAGAATGCCAAGGCCTTCGATAGAGTCCAGACGGTCTGATCTTTCGATGGAATTTTAACTATTCAATAATTTCATTTAAAAACTGTAAAAGCAGCTATTGAGGAAATGAATGAGGTGATGGGGAGTGAGGGGGTCAAGAACAAAAGACATCCAGAAATGCAGATCGATGCAACTCTGCACGTGTTTAAAAAAATCTTTCACTTGAAAATGTTGATAGGTGTAGTCTTAACAGGCAGAACATCCACCCTTCTTTCTAAACAACAGTTTTCTAAGCTTCAAGGCTTAGATTTCTAGTTGTAAATTTTAATTTATGGATCACTGATAGTCTGCAAAATAACACGGAGATGTAGTAGGTACCTGATCTCCATTTTAGATAGTAACTTTCACTGCAACAGCACCACTGTGCAGTGTATTCTCCACCCCTGTTCCAAGTGAGTGAAGGTTACTGTTGCCACAAGAGTGTCATTAAAAAAAAGGAAAGAAAAAAAGATAAGAGGAGTTTGTTCTACACAATGACCAAAGAGAAAGGAAATAGTGAGTGTTAAAACTGTTGCTTGAATTATGAGGAAAAGTAAGTTCCTTCAGCTTTCTGAACCACATTTGCTCATGTTCTCATTATTTTAACATGAGTAATATCAAAGCACCACTGAAAGACTAGGCAGGTATATTCACAGCCTGTTTCTTTGTGGATAGTCCATTTCACTATTTTATCTGGAAGTCTGTCCAGTTTCCTTCTTATCCACGTGATGCTTCTGAGCAGGAACAGGGCAGGGGAATTATGCTTAAAACCAGAGGGACATCAGGAGTATGGAGCTGTCAAATGTAGCTCTCCTGTGACCCCTGCACTTGCTGAAACTGCTTGAGCTTGGTTTTGCAAAGGGATCCAACTTCCAAGTTGAGAGCATCCTTTTAGAAACACCAGTATGTCCTCCATCTGAAATATCCTGATCTAAAGGTGAGGAACAAGGACTTGAGGGCCCAAGACCTTGGACTCCACCAGCAAGAACAGCTGTGAAGAAACATGAAAAGCCCCCAGCCCCAGTGCTGTTCCTCTAGAACACTGCCCTCCTCATGCTGGAGGGTGGTAGTCAGCAAATCCCACAAGCAGAAGTTTTTTACAGCCAAATATCATCCCATATTATTGAATTTGGGGTCAGAACTCCCATTTTCTGATTCTCTGCAATACAGGCCACCTCACTCTCTCAACTGCATAACCTTTCTGTGCCCAGGAAGCGGTACCCAGCTGCTGAGAAACCAACTGATGGTCAGCAGCAGTGATGTAGGGAACCATCAAAGCATCTTGGTTTGCTTGGTTTTTAACACTGTGGGACCTTGAGCCCATTCACACAGGATTATTTTTTTCAAGGTGCTGTTGAAAGAGTAAATTAACATGGAGAGATGAAATCAAGTGTGAATTTCTGGCTTCACACTATAAACTTCAGACATGTTTAGGATATTCTCCCCATATCAAGCTACAAGGCTGACCTTGCCCTCCCCACAGACATTTAAGCAGGAGACAGAGGGGCAGGCATGAAAGAAGTTTTCCTTTGGGCAGAAGAGCAGCAGCATTCAGCACCACTACCCACTGACATCATCCTGCCACCAAGCTGTGATCCAAGGCACAGTGACAAAAAAAGTGTGCTGACAGCCACGCCGGCACTTCCAACCCCAGCACGTACACTTCATGTTCTGTGCAATAGGTTTCAACTTAGCAGGTTTTTTTCTTCTAGATTTCCATTTTGGAACATGAAGAGATGGAAATGAAAGATTATTAAAGGGAAAGTCTAGCACAAGATTAACTGAAATAAAATATTTCTGTTGTAAACCCAGGGAAACTTCTCCCCCACAACATAACCTCAGCACCTAAGGACACAGTAACACCTCCTGTAGCACCAAGGTGGTGCTTTGGGAACTTCTCTCTATCCTGGGAAGGGGATGGGTGTGCATATGATGGGGACAAAGCTTTTGCATGACACATATTACCATGTGCTTTTCCAAAGGCCTGCTGGCTGAGGGCTGGGACTTCCTTCTCCCCCAACAGATAGTGTGCTGTGCATGGCTCACCCTACGCGTGCACCCTAAGTCCTCCCAGCATGACCCAGACACATTCTGCATCAGAGCATGTTCCACAGGAAACAAAAAACAAACAAAAAAAGAAAACTTCTCCTAAAAGCCTACCATCCTCCCCACCCAGTATTAATTTTATATTCATAATCATCTGGTCACTGAAGCAGAGAGATTTAGCAAATCCAAGTGACTAAGGAATTAAGGCAGACACAGTCCCAGCCCCACAGGAGGCTGCCATGGGATTTGGGAGTGACCTTGGGGCATTAGCTGTCTTCCCCAGAGCTTAGAGGTCTAGGAAGACCTCACATTCCATACCTTCATGCCAACATCTTTCATCAGCTCCCAAGAGGGCCTTGCCATGGAATACCTTCAAGCCACCCAAGTATCTCAAGGATGACATATTCAAGGAAAACAGGAGTTATGGACTCTGCTGCTGAGGGCAGGACAGAAGGTGCAGCAGCTTTCCACAAGGAGTAAGAGAATATGAATATATTCAACACATATCTATTTATCAATCAAATTGTATATATCTTTGGAGTGTGATATTTAAAGTCATTCACCATTTCTTCCCTCCAGCCAACCTAACTGGATCCTACTTTTATTTGCTCAGTGCAGGCAACAGTGTTGGCACTGTAGTGAGTGCACACACGTACAAAAGAGGAAAATTCACAAGGCAGAGGGTCTCCAGGAGACCAGAGATCCTGCCCATGTCAGGTGTGCTGCATGAAGTCCTCTAATGCACACGTTTCTAGGTCACTCTTTAAATTGGGGGGGAGAAGGGAGGGAAGTGGGAGCAGGAGACACCAACCTGGGGAACACTCAGGCTATGGCTACCCAGAAGTACACCTGCAAAAGATGGAACTCAGATGCTCCCCCCAAATTTCAGTCCAGGAAGCATCTGGCCAGAAGTCTGTCTGCCACAGCATCGTTTTAGATTTTAACAGCAGCAGCAACACAGAAAAAAAAATTGGCTGCTGACACTGCTGCTGCTTTTTCCCTCCACACACAACCTTTAGCTGTGGTCACACACTGTCTGTCTTGTGCATGTAGAAACGAGAAGCGATTCAGGGGATTAAGAAATGGTGGTATTGAAGTAAAAAAAAAAAAACCAACCCATTCAGGCAGGGTAAAACAAGAAGGGGAGGGCTCACTGGTGTAATTTCGGGGTTGGTCTAGGATGATGTCATAGCACTGAGCAAGTGCCATGGCCAAACAGCGGGTACTTCCTAACGCTCCCCATCCATCTGACCACTAATACCACCAGGCTGGAATATTTCAGATTACATTTATATTCGATTTAAAAAGCCATTTTTTACTCCTTTCCCTCCAAAAGGTTGCTAGTGACTGCAGCCTGTGCGGATACGAGGTGGGGGAGGCGGCAGCACAGCAATCACATTTGCAATAGTACAAACCTTGATGGATTCATCCCATCCCCCTCCTCTTTGTAAGCCCACAGCCCGCTCTAAGCCCTCTCCCTTATTGCAACCCAGCAATCCTTCCTAGGGATCAAGCTGAAAAATGCAGTCACGGCACAGTTGCTTGAAATAAATGAATGAATGAATGAATGAAAAAAAAAAAAATCAAACCCAAAACCCAGCCAGCAGCTCAGCTGGGAAGCAGCAATCTTATTGTTTCAAACCCATCTGCATCTCCAGAGCGTTTAAATACATTGCACACGAGCACATCTAGACACTTTATGCACATGCAAATATTAGAAAAAAAACAGAATGGGTGGAAAATAAAACAAGGGGGGGGGGGGGGGAAATCTGAGATTATATTAACTTCACCCAGCAAAGTGGCTTATTTTATATACACTGGAAATATACACAGAAATTAAATATATTTTACATCTTACACACACAGGGAGCTACAATATCTTTCAGTGCAATCTCTAGTTGCTATGCCAACAACAACAACAACAACAAAATAAATAAATGAGGAGATTAAAAAATGTCCTGACCCTTTTGCAGAAGGAGAGGGGGAGAGAGGAGGTGAGGTGGGGTG